TTTTCACCTAAAAACGCCTTACTATACATGGTCATTTTTTTCGGCTCAAAATGCCTTACTATACATGGTCGTTTTTTTCGGTTAAAACCGCCTTACTATACATGGTCGTTTTTCCGCTAGCCCACGCTGCCTCGGTGGTCGAGCGAGTTCAGCCACTGCCGTCGCCCTCGTCACCGCCGCCGCCGGGCCCACCGACCGCTGGAGCCCCAGACGAACGTCGCTGCCACTCACTCCCACTGGCCGCCGCCGCCGGGTCCACCGACCACCGGAGTCCCAAACGAACGCCGCCGTCGCTCGCTCTCGTTGGCGTGAGCGCCGTGCGCCAACAGGGTGGAGAGCCCGCTTCAGCCGAGGGACTTCAGGGTTGTCTACCGCTGACGAAGCTTCCTTCCTTCCTTGTGCGTGTCAGATGCGAGACAGTGTGTGCCAAGCACTTCCTGGGGCCTGTGCCGTGACCACAGTTGCAGTCGCAGAGCGGGTCAAACTAGTGGAACTTATAACAACAGCCCAGCAGAACATCACTTCAACCATTTGCGACTACGTGGAGCCAGTGGTTTTGGCTCAGTAGACATCGGAGCGCTAACTCATGCATCGGCTGAGTAGACCTTGGTAGTAGCGTGGACGGCCCCAGGAGCATCGGCACCATCGATGTAACGCCTGTACTTTGCTGTGCTGTGAAAAATGTTCATTGTTTTACACCGGCTTGAGGTTTTCATGTGTGTTTATTGAGCAGCCTGACAGCAGTCGGTAAGAATGAGTGGCAGTATCTCTCCTTCTTGCAGCGCGGGTGAAACAGTCTCTGGCTGAAGGAGCTACCCAGTGCTGTCAGGGTGGGCTGGAGGGGGTGGGAGGGACTGTCCATCATAGCTTTTAGTTTAGCGAGCATCCTCCTGCTGCCCACCTCCTCCAGACTGTCCAGGGAGCAGCCCTAATGAAAGATATATATGGTTTAATCAAGCAAATTTGCATCCAAATGCATTTTGGATACACTGGTTGTATTAAAGCAAAATATATAATGGCTCGCGGCACCTTTCTGTCCGAGACGCCATGGCATCTAAGTTCGCAGAGAAACAATACTTGTTCTTTCTTGGTCTGCTTGAAATGGAGCTGTGATGCAGTTTTCGTTGAAAGGTGAGTCTGGAATGCCTATCTCACTCACACACACACACACACACACACACACACACACACACACACACACACACACACACACACACACACACACACACACATCTAGGGTTGGTGCTACACTGTGGTGGTGGTGGTCATGGGGGTTGTTTATAGCCCTGTCAGAAATCTGTGTAGCCCAGCTTGAGCTCCTCCAGCATTTGATTTGATATTCTAAAATATATTGATAAATTATTTTCTCAGGCCCGCTATGAATCGGTCTAGCCCGCCTTTAGCGCAGGGAGAGAAAAAATCCTGGAGTCATCCCTGCTCATGTCTATATCTGACGTATGTTTGGGGGTTGCATTCGAGGACAAAACACGGAAGTGTTTGTGTTTGCAGAGCTGCCACCTGTTACGGATTGTCCATATTTTATTGGGGAAAGGGATAAGCGCTTCAGAAAATGGATTGATGGATGTTTGGAAGAACATCCTGGGTTGCGCCGTTCAACGTGTGACGGGAGATCCTGGGATTAAAGTAAATCAAGTATCTCAAACTAAAGGTTGATGCTGGGTAGTCAACGCATATGTAAACGACAATGTTTTCAAAAAAAAAATTGTATTTTGTAGATAAAGCATAATAAAAGCGCACTTCACTACTATCATGATAAATCAATCAATCCATCAAACTTTATTTATATATCACTTTTCATAAAATTGGATGTTAGATTTTTTGGGGACTCCATAACATGTGTTTTTTTTTTAGCAAAAGTACAATTAGTAATACATTCAAATAGATTCGGGATTCAGTGGTTAAATGGTTAACGAACAGCAATCGCGGACTTGAGGTACGAGTCTATCTCCTAAAGACTATATATCACAATATCTATGACAACAATGATGTGGCATATCATTCAATAGTAACAAGTAGTAAGTGAAGACCCAGTCAACGACGTGTTGTCAAATCCATTCCGAAAATGGTGCCTTGCTTTAAAATTAACCAGGGGGATTGTGGGCGTGCTGTTTTGGCGAATAGACACAAAGATGGGAACACCAGATATTTTTCAATATTGATATGTTTCCCCATCAATACCTAGAAATGGGCCATTGGAGGTACACTTTAAAGTGTATGGGGATCATACTTTGTGGGTTAAAGTATTAATATAGGTCACAGGTGTCAAACTCAAGCCCCGGGGGCCAGATCCAGCCCACCACATCATTTTATGTGGCCCGTCAAAGCAATTTTGTTTCTTGCTAAAATACCAAAATTGCAAATTGTCTTCAATTTTAAAAGCATTTGGATATCACAAGTATTTTTTTTTGTTACCAATCCCTCTTTTAAAATAAATGTAATTACATTTGAACAAAAATGGTCCCTGATTGCAAAAGTATAGTTAGTCATCATCTTCCTGTGTTAATGAAACATGAGGCAATTGGTGTTCACAGTTAAAATGGCCCCCTGAAGGAAACCCTAATGACGAAGTGGCCCATGACAAAAATACATTTGACACTCCTGATCATATCAGTTTTAGGGAACCGACCATTTGCTATTCGCGGTCGGCTCTGTCCCAAATCCCCGGTGAATAGAGGGGGTCCACTATATATGTATTTTACCTGCTTCACTGCAGTTTTCATATTTTTAATGCAGTCTATACTTCTGTATGGCAGTATAAACATCTCTTAACAACCATATACTGTATATCAATAACGGCTGCGAAGACTGATGTCAAGTCACATAAATTCATAATGCAATCTGTCCACCATGGTAAGAGAAGAAATCAATATTGCTGCTGATTATATAAATTTGTTGGAAATTGTAATAGGCATCAGCGAATCAACTGCAGGCACCCATAAAGATTTTCCTTTTTTTTTTTTAACATGTTATTTGACAGTCAGGAAAACACATGGCTGTGTTCACAGTGTTATTATGTTGCCACCCTCTCTCATACTCCGCTGAATGCTGTGACTTGGATGTCCGTTTTGACCAGACCTCAGGTTTGATGCCATGTATTCAGGCATGGAAACACTCTGTGGAAGGGTTCTAACCACAGGGCTGCTGTTCAATCTTTCACTGGTGAGGTTCGTATTGTTATGTGATTGGTAGAATGTCAAACAGTCATTTTCCAGGATGAGGTCACCGTCATCATCTTCTTCTTCATCGCTGTCACCCTCTACGATGCTGTTACTGAAACATATGACATGACAGACACATCATTAACAGAACTATGCGGCATACACAAAATGGAGTTAAAATGAGTAAAAAACACAAAACAAGAATGATAACAGCAGTCACCCACAATACAGGTCCCGACCCTCCTTTCGTCACTGCATACTTGATTGTGTATTATCCCATTGCCCCCCCAGCGGGGGCACATTTCTACAAACCTACTACTGTACCAATGAAGTCGGGGGTCGTTGTGTTAAACATAAATAAAAACAGAATACAATGATTTACAAATCATGTTCAACCAATATTTAATTCAATACACTACAAAGACATGATATTTCATCTTCAAACTGATAAACTTCAATGTTTTAAGCAACTAATCATTAGAATTAGAACATGGGACAAGTGGCAAAAAAAAAAAAGAGAGTGTTAAGGAATGCTCATCAAACACCTGCTTGGCACAGACTAACTGGGAACAGGTGGATGCCATGACTGGGCATAAAAGGACCTTCCATGAATTGTTCAGTCATTCACAAGCAAAGCTGGAGTAAAGTTCACCTGTTAAGAACTGCACGAGAAAATAGTCGGCCAGTATAAGGACAATGTTCCTCAATGTACAGTTGCGGGAAATTAGGGATTTCATCATCTACGGTCCATAATATCATCAAAAGGTTGAAAGAATCTGGAGAAATCACTGCATGTAAGCGGCCAGGCCGAAAACCAACATTGAATGCCTGTTACCTTCAATTCCTTGAGGCGGCGTTGCATCAAAAACCGACATCCATGTGTCAAGGATATCACCACGCGGGCTCAGCAACACTTTCGAAAAACAATGTCAGTAAATACACTGATGCAAAGTGTAAAAGTGGTCCATGGTCTGACAAGTCCACGTTTCAAATTGCATTTAAAATTTATGGACATCATGAAGCCAAGCAACATCTTCTTCATTGACGCCTCTGCGTATTTCAGCAAAAAAATGCCAAACCACATTCTGCACATGTTACAACAGCATGGCTTCGTCAGAAAAGAGTGTGGGTACCAGACTGGCCTGCCTGCAGTCCAAACCTGCCTCCCATTAAAAATGTGTGGCGCATTATGAAGCGTAATGTATGACAATGGCGAACCCAGAATGTTTCACAGGTGAGGCTATATAGCAAGCAAGAATGGGAAACAATTCCACGAACAAACCTTTAACAATCAGTGTCCTCAGTTGTCAAATGTTGATTGAATATTGTTCCAAGAAAAGGTGATGTAACAGAGTGGTAAGCATGAGCCTGTGCCAGCTTTTTTGGAACGTGTTCCAGCCATAAAATTCAAAATTAGTGAGTATTTGCTATAAATGATAGTGTATCAGTTTGAACATTAATTATGCTGTCGTTGTAGTGTATTCAATTAAATGTAGGTTGAAAATGATTTGCAAATCATTGTATTCTGATTTTATTTAGGTTTAACACAACTAGATTGGAATTTAGTTTGTAGTTGTATTCAGAATAATACCAATAGTTAAAAACAGTCAACAAAACTATATTGCAAAATTATACGTATTATATCATACATTTTTAAGAAAATGTTGAATTACTTTGAGATGTTTTGCTGCAACAAAACAGGTGGAAGGGCGAAATTCATTTCACCAATCTACCGACAAGTTTGAACCAGAATGAAAAGTCTGAACAGTTGTCATTGTCAGAGTTGGCAGATTGGTACTGAGCAGCAGCAGTATCACATCCATTTGTCTCCAGGATCAACAAACTGGATAATAGATTGCTGTAGCACACAACTTGCCTCATTTGTCAGCATGGAAAGAGAACAGCTTTTTCCACATTGCAACTAAAATATCACTGTTCATGTGAGGAAGGCGACCTCGAGTGGACAACAACGGTACTTGCGTCCTCACATAACACGGCATTAACATTTCTTGCTTACCATCAAGTTCTGTGTACGCTGATGGAGAAAATCGGTGTGAGACCTATTCACAGACCTCAGCGATGACCATCTGCAGGCCACAGCGGTGAAAGGCAAGAAGCAGCAGTCGACCCAATTAAAATTAATTAATTATAAATTCATATTTTGTGGCAGAAACGATTCAAGCAATTGTTGCAGTCAAACAATTTCTGTAACTTTCAGTGAGATTTCTGTAGCGGTCAACAGATATTTTGCATGATTCATATTATTGACATGAGCGCAAAGAGCAAGTCTCACATTTGGTTCTCCAGTCTGCATGTTTCAGCTCCTTCCACGGATGTTTCGTACGAGTTATGTCAGTGACCACAGAATACCACTTCAGAAGAGTATTTCAGTATGTTTTGTTTTTAGCCTTTCTTGGGTGTTTTCGCGACACTTTTTGAGGTTATATTCTGTTAAAGCAGCCATCACCTGCAGCTGAGACCAAGATTTCCAACACTGGAAATCACGGTTCTCAACACAATATGCTGTGCAACAAAATATTAAGTTGGGTCATTTCTTTCTTGGAAAGTTGTATTTAGTTTATATTCATTTTTTTCCAATAAATCTGTGGGCCACACGCCCAGTGGTCGAGTGGTCAGTGCGTCGACCTCAAAATGCAGAGGTGCAGGGTTAGATTCCGGCTCCCACCTTCCGGTGTGGAGTTTGCATTTTCTCCCCGTGCCTGCGTGGGTTTTCTCTGGGCACTCCGGTTTCCTCCCACTTTCCAAAACCATGCATGGTGATTTATTGCGCACTCCGAATTGCCCCAAGGTGTGAGTTTTTTGTCTATGTGTGCAATTTGAGTGCATATTATGATTTGTTTATTTCTTCAGTTAACCCAATCATATTAAGTGGCTCAATTGGCTTTCCACTTGCTATCTGGGAATCACAGCAGCTTCTAGCAACTGTTTATTGATTTATTTATACTACTGATTGTTTGTTTTTCCATTCTGTGAGTTATGAATGGGGTCTTACTGACACATTGTCATCAACTTTAAAACTTTGACAAGCAAGGATGGGGTCAGGTTCACCCCTTTGTGAACAAATGCATAAGCAAATACTTCAGCACTTTAAGAAAAACGTTTAACGTACAATTCCCGGCAATTTAGGGAGTTCATTATCCTCAGTCCATAATATCATCAAAAGATTCAGAGAATCTGGAGACCTATTTGCATGTAAGCAGCAAGGCTGAATTCCAACATTGAATGCGTGACCTTTGATCCATCAGGCAGCACTGCATGAAAAAGAAAAATGGCATCACTGTGGAAAAGAGAGCGCCATGGGCTCAACAGCACTTCAGAAAACCATTGTCAATTAACAGAATTTATCGCAACACAGACAAGTACAAGCTCAAACTCTCATGCCAAGCGAAGGCCATATCTTCAAAACAACCAAAAGCTATCAAATAATCAAGGTTATCCGTTTGAACTGAATATCGTGTTGGCTGAAAAGGATTTGCAAATCACTGTATTCTGTTTTACCCATCGTCCCAACCTCATTGGAGCTAGAGTTTATAAATGTGGACAAACACCAATTCTGATTCTGTATATTAGCGCATGACATGCCAAACCTTGCTGTGATAGGTGTGCTGTGAGAGGCAGGACTCGTCGAATCATGAGACAGAGCGGAGCCTGTCGATCCATTTGAGCCAAAAGAACCAGAATTTCCTGTTGTTTTACTCCCTCGATGCATGACATTGTTCCTCTGGTTTGCTGGTTTCACTGTCACTATAAGATTGTGGCTGTTGGCCACCATCATGTCTGTCACCTGAAATGATATGGGGGGATGAGGGGGGTTGCAAGGTCTCAAATTAAAGTTACAAAGAAGTATGCTCATATGACTGTTGATGAACAGGTTTGATCGAACAATATAATATGATATGACCGGAATGAAAAGTGTGGTATTTTCGAAACATAATAATAAACACGAATCATGACACGAGGAATGTCCTACCTGGCCACAACATTCTCTGGTTGCTATGGTAATGTTTAAACGTGCCTTAAAAATAATATACACTGCAAATAAAAAGTGCATGAAAAATCCAACTCACCATCGCCGCTTATTATGCAGAGTAGGCTTGGTGCGCGTGAATCTCCCGTTGAGATAAAGCCGTATTTGAAATAGGACTCCTGATACTGTCTATTAAATGTAGCCTTCTCTTTCTTTAAAGTCATAGGCTCCTCTTCTGTCTCCTGGCTGGGCCTTTTCCCCTTCCCAAAAAAACTTTTCAAAGACTGTTTTTTATTCATTTGGTCTCATCTCGTGAGTGAGAAGCTCGCATTCACCTTTGTCAAGAGTGACATACTGTAGACTGATATAACAGAGGATCCAGTAATTTTTCAAAATAAAACATCTTTCAGATTCCGAAATGAATAACATGGAAGGAATGTAAGTTATTTATTCTTTCTGTGCGGCCCAGCACCAATTGACCCACGGACCGGTACCGGTCCGCGGCCCGGCGGTTGGGGGCCCCGTCCTAGATCACACATTACTTATCAGAAAGGCCAGAGCTAGTGCGCTTGAGGTGCACCCCATTGCATAATGACGTCAGTGATGTTGGAGTAGCACAAGGGCATCTCCCTTTCTGTTTGCCTAACACCTAGGATTTCTAAGAAAACTGTATCATGTCACCTGATGACTCTGTGGTGATGTCATGGATTAAGGATAGACAGGAGCAGGGATCATCTGTGTCAACATTAGCAAACTCAGGAGCCAGTTGTGGACAGAGACCGAGGACCACCACTTGGGCCTTCACTATAATGGGAAGGTTACTGACATGGTGCAGTGTTCCAAATGTACAGTCAGTCTTTAATTCTGTCTGTCAAGTCAATATTTATGCAGCCCTTAATTACAAAAGAGTCCGGGTTGGTCAATCCCAAAATCTCCAAAGCAGTACCTACAAGGAGGTGGTCCACCTCAGATCTTGTCCCAGTCAGTCAGTGCAAAATTCATGTAACGATGTCTGTCTCTCTGTCCCATCCATCTATCTGGCAATCTATCCATCTGTTTAACGATCACTGCTTGAATGATATGGTGGCTTAGAAAAAGGGTTGAGTAAGGCTATTTTCTCACTGCAGCTGAATTCCGATTTTTATTTTATTTGTTTATTCCCATATCGATCTGATTTCTTTCATGCAGCGTGAACAGTTTAATTCCGATTTTTTTTTCTTTTTTCAAATCAGACCCTGCCCTCTTTCATATGCGAATATCAATCAAATATGCATGTGATGTGTCTGCAATATGAACATTTGTACACATCCGATCAAAGTTTCTTTGAGGAGCTGGGCAATATTTTATGAGGCAAAGATGAATCTGGATAAAATCTCTATGGCAGTGGGGATTCTTGAATGTTGGTTTGAGGAGCCACAATAGATGTTAAAATTATTGGTTTGTTCCTAGGTCACGACCATTAGAAAAGCAAATCGTTCTCGAAAGAAAGAGTGTGTAGTTGGCCAATTGCTACATTAGGATTCACAACTACTATCTAACACCAATTGATGTTAGTTTGCTTGCAATTTTTGTTGTTGTTGTGCAAAACTATTGATAGTATTGACGAGGTATGTTAATGGCTCGATACATGCCAGGTACTTCTGGGACTGATTGATGTTGGCTAGTCTCTTGTTGGCCAGGACATCTACTTCCAGGTTGGCCATCATATCAGACTTAGCAGTCAGCATTAAAGCTGATAACATTAAACTGTGGCATTTTGGGATTTGGGTGATCTTAAGAGAGTTTTTTTGTGATGAATCTTTCAAACTGTCGCAGAGACGAAAATGAATCAATTTACTAGTGCATTGCTTGGACTGATTGTGAAGACCAGTAATTCTCAAAGTGTGGTACAGGGCTCCTCTCAGGTGGTACACAAAATTATCATTGAATATCATCACACTCGCAACGTTTATTCATCAATTCTGTTATTGTCTGTGAGACCCTAAAGACAACCAACCAAGTGTGATTTGTGACTGGCTGGGCAATCGAATAGGTGGAGAGAGAATGTGTGTTCATGAAATCACGTTTGCGGGAAATAAATTACAATTCTTGTTTAATCTTGTTTTAACATGGGTACGCTTGACAATAATCATTAGTTTTGTTGATATCTTAGCACTTGTCCTGGTTCCTTCCTTCTTTTCTGAGGAAACTATATTAACAGCTGTGGTTACTGTGGGAGCTCCAAAAACCGCGATGAAGTGAAGCCGCGATAAATGAAGGGCGATATAGCGAGGGATCACTGAACCGCTCAGCAACACATGTGGCCAAAGCATGAGTACAAGAGACAAAATAAAAAAATTTAAAAAAAAAGGCTGGATGGTATCTGAATAATTTTGTGTTATGAAACGTAATTACCTGGTCTAATGATTTTCCTGTAACATCAATCCCATTGACTTCTAGAATTTCATCATTAACGCCCAAGAGCCCGGTACTCTCTGCAAGACCACCACGCACAAGGCGGGATATGAACACTCCTGGAACCTGTGGTAGGGAAATGCATAAAGTAAACAAAACAGTAAGAAGACGAATGTGTACATCAATCTCCATTTGTGAATAACATCCAAAGTGCATGTCCACGGCTCAAGACCGAATCCCGCTGAGAGGCGAAAGTTTGTGAGTGCTGGCAAAGACAGCAAATGCGTGTTCACGTCGGGGTTTGTTCAAGCTCACAAACGTTCGCCAAACAATCTCCAGATGTCCGCCAACCGTTTGAATTGATTTTCTCGATCGCAATGAAATCTTTTCAAAACGTCATTTTGTGAATATTTCCAACCTTCAACGAACCCTAATGAGAACACATTTGCTACCTTGGCAAACACTAGCAAACGTTCGCCCCTCGGGGGATACAGTCTTAAGCCATTGGAGGGTTAAGTTTAGAAGCACCCAACAATGTCTTCAAATGTTGGCCATATTGGAATATGTTATAAATATGTTCGTATAAAATGATGAGTCCTACCTTTTCAACACCGTAAGGTGTCACTCGCATACTGGCGCCATCTCGGATGTAGAAGCCCAGGGGTTTATGGGTACCGTGCTTGTGGAGCCGTACACGGCGATGTGTCTCAGGTAGGATATCCACGTCAATAATTGATGAAATTTGACGGAAGTTCTGTGGTCGGCCGATGAGGAGACCAATTTTGCTCTTTGAGTTGGTAGACAATGAAGCAGGGGTACGGAGTCCTGTCAAACCCAGTCCTTTTTTCCGCCTCTGGAGGGAGTTGGTTGCAAAAACTACAGGTTCATCCTCTTTATTAAGACAGAACAAGATGAGGGGGAGGGGGGGGGAGAAAAGTTATTCGCATTTAAAATTATGTTCATGGTGACAATTGACTAATGGTTAAAAATAAAAGACAAACCTGCTGTTCCTAATATTTTAGAACAAGGGTGTCAAACTGATGGGGAATTGACAAACACAATGTTATCATGTTTAAAATTTTCATTTTGTTACATGCTTGATTGACCTCGAACGCATGTGTTCATACAGCTTGTACACAATGGAGCACAGAGAATCAGGGGTCAATTTGAAGCCTGTTAACTGACAACTTGGAAAGGAAGATTTAACTTCGGGGTGAAAGGGAGTACTCGGTACGCTCCATCATGAGAAAAGGTCACCACGCCAGGTTACAGATGTATCAGTTCGTGGAAAGGCGACTCATTAAAATCTCTGTAACTGTTGATCTATGGATGTGTACCCGGGGAATGCCTTGGCCTTCAGGGGTCCACTGAGGGGCGACCCATTGGGGCTGTCCAGGGGCGTGGTATGTAAATGAAGAAGGGAGTGTTTTTCTGACATATCACTTGTAATTTGCATACACGATCAATAAAAAGCCGGCAAAGGCTGCAGAGGTTGGGTGTCAGTTGAGAAGCGCACACAGAGCGGCTTCATAGAAAACTGCGCCTCCTGCCGGCAGTGAAAGTCGATCTGTTCCTGCGTCGAGCTTCTGTTCAACTGTCCGAGCGAACATCTCTGACACAAACTCATTTTTGTCACGGGACAGCTTTTAGTTGCAGTTTCCCCTGGAGGGCCGTTATGACTGAAACCAGATAAAGAAGTCAAGAATAACGGTTTATTCATCTATTGTAAGTTATTGTAATGAGGGGTTTGGTAAAATGCTTACAGTATCACTCTTATTTATTACAAATGAGAATTTGAAATTTTGGTTGAGATTTTTGCAAGCATCATGAAAGTCATCATCTTTGATTTGCTTTCGCGGGCCACATAAAATGATGTGGCGGTCCAGATCTGGACCCCGGGCCTTGAGTTTGACACAAAGTTTTAGAATGACATATAATAATTGAGGTAATGTAAATATTAGATACAGCTCATTATAATGCATTAGACTGTAGTTTCACACCACAGAAAAATTATACCCACAACAATGACCATATTGTTAAATGAATACTTCTCTGCCAAAACTACTTTTATGTCTCATTGCACTGTTTTCTGCCTTAATATTTAGTTTTTGAAAATCTCTTCTCATTTGGACAAGATATACACTTGTCAGATACAATGTTATTTAAAAACAATTTGTGTGTGCCGTACTGCACTGCAAACTTTTGGTAAATTGTCAAATGATTTTTTTTTCCTTTAATCCCTGCAGTTACATTACTAAGATGTACTTAAATGTTCTCAATCACATATTTTTTAATGGTCCCAAACTAAGGTTTGTATTGCTAGCTAAACTGTGATGTTAGCTTACCTGTAAAGACGAATCAAGTTAGACTTTGTCGTTATTGTGTATTCATTCAGTGAGATGCAAACCATGCATTTTGGCATCCTATCTTAAACAACGTCATTGACAAAATAATCCATAAATTCAGATAAATGATCCTTGGAGTTAATTTTATGCTGGTGTTGAGGTCATCACTTCACACCGACAAGTGACACTGACTGGGTTGCCAGGTTGGCGTGAATGAAAGAAAATCCCTCTTTTTTTTTTTTTGCTCATGCTTTTCTTCCCAAAAAGACAAACTGTCTTAAGATGCAGATTTCATACTATAAATTTGATGCAGTTCAACTCTAAGTCAATTCGGGTCACTTAGATACCAAGTCCCAAGTCAAGCCATTCCAAATTTTTGCTAAGCAAGTCACAAGTCGTAAAAATAGCAACTCGAGTCAACTCATATGCCTTAAGTAGACCATCTCTGGATCTCATTCTATTGTACGAGTGGTCAGACTGTTATTGATTGTATTGGCAGTGTTTTCAAACTGACTGAGCGAACAAGCCAGCCAGGAACATGCTAGGAGCTTTGAAAACAGAAGGCAGGTTGGTTTGGTTCGGCTAAGCTTGTATGATTTTTAGCGCCACGTCAGAAGGGGCTGCCGTCTTTATTGGAATTTGAAGAAAAAAAAAACATGAAATTAATTCAGTGGAAAAAAAGGATCAAATGATGACTCAAGTAAATCACCTATTTTACTGCCTACGCTGCTCTTCTCAGGAATAATGTGACATCTTCGCTATTTTCAGATGTAATTTTTAGGGCAAGTAAAAAACTTGTCAGCCAATCAGAGAAGAGTCAGAGAAACCAAAGGGTCATGTTGAATAAAAAAAAAAAAAACATTTAATTCACACTTAATTTGACAATATTTTTGATGTATTTTCACAATCATAAGGCATACTTAAAAGTCTTACTTTTTTTTCAAAAAAGGACGGGGCGCCCTATAATGCTGGGCGCCTAACATTTTTTCCAAAATGGATGGGGCGGCTTACATTGCCGGTCCTTTTAATGCCGGGCGCCTCAAGTGTGCACCGAGGTCCAAAATCTGAAAATGTTGTGTGACATTGATGAGCGCGCTGCTTGACTGGTTGGGAGCATTTCCTACCGACACGCTGCTTATATCAAGGAAAGGCAGACGTGACTGAGGACAGGATGCGGACGTTAAAGGGGGAAAGATGCGTGTGAAAGAGGATGCTGAAGGCACACCCCGAGTAAGTGTGTACGTTATTGCATTGTGCAAAACAACACTGGTTTGGCGAAGGACCCCTGAAAAAGGAACCGATGAAGAGACACGCTTATGAAGCACAGTTTAAACTGCTAGCTATCAGTTACCTCGAGGAACGTGGGAATCAAGCAAGTGCCAGAAAATTTGAGATCAACGAATGCATAGTTCGCAAGTGGATTGACGAGAGAGAACCTGGCATGTTTGATGGAGAACTTGCCCAGCGTACATTTGGGAGAGAGGAGATGAGGACTTGTGGATTTGTGGATGAGGATTGATCCAAAAAATAGTAACGTGAGTACATTGTTAAATACTTAAATCAAGTACAAGCGAACTTATTTTTGCTCCCGCTGCATGCTAGCGTATGTTTTAGCATTCATGCATGCTACCGGGGCAGCGAGAGAGACCGAGACAGCAGTATTGGTACTCGCTAATGGCAGAGAATGAATAAAATATAAAGTAGTCATACTCAGTCTGAAAAAAGTGGTATCGCTTCATCTCTTCAAAAGAGTATTCCTTTTACAATAGTTGATTTCACTCCATGGTTTATTAAGGTTTTTTTTTCCATATATACATCCCTCATTGAGAGCCTCCATGAAATTTCAACTGTCATTTAAAAAAAGTCCCAATCTACAGAATATGATAACTACCCCATCCTTACCTTTCTTGGTGATGATAATGCGGAGCAAGGGATTTGCTGATGAAACAGCTTTGTGGAAGTTATCATCATTGTTGATTGGAAGAAGGTCTCCATGGTCATCTGCGTATCCCAGTAACATGTCTACTTCTGGGATGTGATGGATTGTCTGGAGGAGGCTATAGAACTCTTGGAAGCCACCCGGGCAGTTCCTCTTAAAAGCAAAGCGACGGTATTCTGCGTCAAACTGCAAACAAGACATTGAACAGTAAGAAATGCTATTTTAAACAATTGAAAGGCATGCATGGCAGATTGAACCCATGTATTATTAAGATTGTGAATTATAATGGAATATTTACTTTTCCATCCATTTTCTAATCCTGATCACATTTGTGGCCATCACCTGAGGACAATTTAGAGCAGTGGTTCTTAACCTTATCGGAGGTACCGAACCCAACCATTTCATGTGCACGTTCACCAAACCCTTCAGTCGTGAAAAATAAAATGTGATTTTTTACAAATTCAAGACATTAAAAAACACATTTATTTAAAACAGAAAAAAGTAAATGACATGTATTATATATTTTTTTTAATTGTATGACGTACTAACACGACAGTCACAAGGTGACCACTGAGCGAACTAAATTTACCGCAGCACTGATTGGACAAGCAACATAATGTGATCATCTGCAGCCAGCGATGGCCAAGCAGGCGTGTCATAACTGTTATGTTGAGTCGGTTGTGTCTTAACCTCCATGGCAGAGGCTCCATCGAACCCCTGAGACCTGATTCACCAAAACCCTGGTGTTACTGGCGCTACTGAGCTATCCAGCTGCAACACAACCTGCGAAGGTGTACGCTCAGTGACAGGGTTCGGACAGCAGAGCAGACCCACCAAGACTTGAAACTGAAAGGCACTGGAAGGCATAGGAGGTCGCACATAACAGCAATGCACAATGGCTGGTGACACTGAGAGAGGAGCACAGCAACCTCCCTGAACAGAACCCAGTTACCATATCAGTGGCAGACATACAGGAAAGAGTCTCAGATATGAAAAACTGGACAGCACATGGTTCACACCTACTGGCTGAAGAAACTCACTGCACTCCACAAGCGCTGAGCAGCACAAATCAACCAGTTGCTGAGGGATGGGACTCACCCAGGATGGCTAACCAAAGGGTGAACGATCCTGATCATGAAGGATCCCTCAAAGGGTGCAGTCCCATCCAACTATCGGCCAATAACCTGTCTCAGGCATCATTGCGGCTAAGATAAGTGGACACATGGATCAATACATGATCGAAACACAGAAGGGCATTGGTAGAGATACCAGAGGAGCCGAACATCAGATGGTGACTAAGAGAGGCAAGGCAGTCCACACCGAAGGGGTCTCACTCCCTGAAGGAACAAAAGAAGACATTGAGGACAGCTACAAGTACCTCGGTATACCACAAGCCAATGGCAACCTCCAACTGGCAACAAGAAAAGCGGCGACGGCCAAATACCTCCAGTGGGTGAGGAAAGTCCTAAGAAGCCAGCTCAATGGCAAGAACAAGACCCGGGCAAAAAACAGCTATGCCCTGCCAGTGATCAGATACCCTGCAGGAATAATAAGGTGGCCAAAGGAAGAGATTCAGACCACGGATGTTAAGACCTGAACGTTCCTAACCATGCATGGAGGGTTCCATCCCAAATCCAGCACCCTGGGACTGTACACAAGCCAGAAAGAAGGAGGCCGGGGACGAGTGAGTGTGAGAGCCGCTGTCCAGGATGAAACATCCAAGCTCCACAAACACATCAAAGAGAAGGCTCCAATGGATGACGTACTCAGAGAATGTCTCAGACAATGGGGAACAGAGGATGAGGTGCTGGTAGAGCGACCATCATGGGAGGACAAGCCCCAACACGGTATGTACCAATGGACCATAACTGGAGTGGCTGATCTCAGAAAGTCCTATCAGTGGCTAGAGAGGGCTGGCCTGAAGGACAGCACAGAGGCACTCATCCTGGCTGCTCAGGAGCAGGCCCTGAGCACCAGAGCCATTGAGGCCCAGATATACCACACCAGACAAGACCCAAGGTGTAGGTTGTGGAAAGAGGCACCTGAGTCTATCCAACACATAACTGCAGGGTGTAAGATGCTGGCAGGGAAAGCCTAAATGGAACGCCATAACCAGGTGGCTGGCATAGTCTACCGAAACATCTGTGCGGAGTATGGACTGGAAACCCCAATGTGAAAATGAGAAAAACCTCCAAAGGTGGTGGAGAATGACCGAGCAAAGATTCTGTGGGACTTCCAGATCCAGACTGACAAGATGGTAATGGCGAACCAACCAGATATCGTGATCATAGATAAAGGGCAGAGGAAAGCCATTGTAGTGGATGTAGCAATCACAAGTGATGGAAACATCAGAAAGAAGGAACAGGAAAAAGTGGAGAAATACCAAGGGCTCATAGAGTAGCTGGAGAGAGTCTGGAAGGTAAAGGTGACAGTAGTGCCTGTGGTGGTCAGAGCACTCAGGGCAGTGACCCCCACACTGGATGAGTGGTTGCAACAGATCCCAGCAACAACATCGGACATCTCAGCCCAGAAAAGCACAGTGCTAGGAACAGCAAGGATACTGCGCAGATCCCTCAAGCTTCCTGGCCTGTGGTAGAGGACCCGAGCTGAATGTGGGACAGACACCACTCGAGGGGTGAGACGAGGAAATTATATATTCACCCATTTGTAATATGCTTGTATTTCTATTTTCTATTTATATTGATTTATATACTTTTTGTCTTATACTTCCTCCCTTTCATAATTTTGCTGCTGTAAATTGGGAATTTTTCCATTGTGAGATAAATAAAGTTTTCTTATCGTATCTGAATATATATGTGTGTGAAGTGCATGAACAAACTGTCCATTTACATGAAGAAACTGAAAAACTGTCATTAAATGTCGATGTGCACCCTTTCATCAAGTAATAAAGTGATTATGCCAAATAAATACAATGTACCGCTACCACTGCACTGCTTTAATATGATTAAAAACTGTCCACCCCCCCACCCCTCCAAAAAAAAGTTTTCCGAGCACGCTCAATAGAAAAATTCAAATTGGAAAAAAAACTAATCAAGGAATAACTGTTGTAAACATTCACTTCAAAGTATTACATGTGTACATGGATGTAATCTTGTACGAAAACATTCAAACTAGTGCACAGAATCCTCTGTCATGGTTGCAACTAACAATGCTGCCAATAACATGTGCGGTGTGGTCTACAACGCAACAGAACTACCTTAGCAGTGACAATGTAAGACACCATCCACTGTGACGTGTGCTCTCATAGCTAGCGGGAATACATGGACCAAGTCGGTAAACCCATCATGCACAACTTATAGCATGGCACAGCATCGATTTGCAAACAATAATGCTCGGCTAATAACTGCAGCCTATATAGTTTACCGTTCTTCCAATCCCGATGGGTCTCGCCTCCACTCCCTGTCCAGCGATTCGGGGACATTTTCCGCATTCTGAGCATCCGCCTCGTACATGTATGGTCCTCTTCCTCCAACTCCTCAAACACCTGGATCCCCTCAGATATGTTTGAAACGATGCTTTCCGAATCAGTTTATGACTGACTTTGTGCACTTTCCATAATGATCCCCGCTAATGTTGTCTTCAAGTGACGTCACACTTTCGGGTTTGATGCTCATCAGGATCTCATTTTGGGTAAGCGATTACTTCGTCAAATTTACGAAATAGAAATAGTTTTTTCATGCTTTATTTTGTGTATTTTGTTGAATTAATTTATTTGTGACATAAAAATATTTAAATTGGGATTTTCTAAAAGTACGTAACAGTTGATCTTTAAAAACCATTACTAAATCTGCCTATTACCACCTGAAAAACATAGCTTGAATTCAGGACTTTCTGTCTCAACCAGACACATAAAAACGTGTTCATGCTTTTATTTTCAGAAGGCTACATTACATAATGGTGTCTTGATTAAAAAAAAAAAAAAAAAATTAATCAGGTAGCTGCAGCTAATCCAACATTCTGCTGCCAGAGTCCTTACAACCCCCTGGATATTGAACCACATCACACCTGTCCTCAAATCACTACACTGGCTTCCTGTAAGTCAAATAATAGATTTTTAACATCTTGCTGTTGGTCTATGAATCTCTCAATGGTCTTGGACCAAAATACAAAGCATCCAAACCCCTCAGGTCATCTGGGACAGGTCTATTGTGTGGTCCCAGAACCAGACCTAAACAAAGTGAAGCAGCATTTAGTTACTATGTTCCTCCCCTGTGGAACAAGCTCCCCAAATACCTGAGGTCTGCTCAAGCTGTCAGTTCACTTAAATCTGGGTTGAAAACATTGTTTGCTGCCTGCAGCATTCTCATGAATCTATCTTTATTATCGTTTCAATTCCCATTTGTATGCTGTCTTTTAATTTATCTAGACTTATGCATTTTTTAATGATTTTAAACTAATGAGATTTTTTAAATTATGATTTCTTTGCAGTGTTTCAATAATTGTGTTTATCTTTCTGAAATGCTTTAAATATTTTACGTAAAGTACTTTGATTTGTCTTGTACATGAAATGTGCCATACAAATAAACTTGCCTTGCCTTGTCCTGATTTGTTGAGTTTGAAGGCTCTATTTTCATATATAGGCGCATGTGCAGTCGGCCGGGTCAAGTCAAGTTTTGGGAAGTTTGGCAGACCGTGCAATGCCTCGCTGGGCATTCCTGTAGACCAGGGGTCGGGAACCTATGGCTCGCGAGCCATATATGGCTCTTTTGATGATTGCATCTGGCTCACAGATAAAAAAAAAAAAAATTCTCGCTTGTTTATTAATGCATCCATCGATCGAATTTTCACTGCTCATTTCCTGTTCGAGCTGCAGTTGGCTCCAGGAGCCATTTTGATTGGATGATACTGGCCAACGTTGCTGTTGGTGTGGAAACAGGTCTACGCCCCCTTTTGAATCAACCCGCTCGGCCATTAGCGCAAAGATAATCCTAAGCGAATAAGATGGCGGAAAAAAAAAAAGATGACGTGTTTGGTAGACTTCAGGACAAATGGACCGAAGGATTCGCCTTTGTGGAGAGAACAGGTTCTGCGGTGTGTCTGATTTGCAATGACAAATTGCGAGAGATAGCAGAAAGGAAGAGTGCAAGCTACTGAGCAGTGTGCAAGCTAGCCAGCAGTAACTTTGCGTATGGACCCGGCAAGATTACTTTCATTCCGATAGTTTTGCTGGATTTTTAGCAATCGTGAGGAACGGAAAACCATTCACATTAATAGTGAGTATAATCACAAATTATTTTAAAAAATACATTCATAGGCTTATTATACTGACATTTTGTTGAAATCACTTTGAAAATACAGTTTTATATATATATATTAGAGCTGTCATACGATTAAAATATTTAATCTAATTAAAAATGCAACTGTCATAATTAACTCAAATGAACTAAAAATTAATCATGATTACTCACACATTTTTTTATCGTTTCTGAATTTCCGTTTATTTTTTTGTCCTATTTTTCCCCATTTGAATGCTCTCATCAACATGGAATCATG